TCGGCTTGTAGGGGTACTCACGAAGCTTGAACACCTTGTGAAGACCTGTGAATTCCTGTTTTTAAATAGCTCATTTGCGCCTTTTCAGAGCTTCACAAAAGCTTACAGGTCTTGCCAAACAGGAACCCGTTACATAACATGAACTAGAAAAAGAACTAGCGAAAGTACAAAATGCCCCTTCCAAGCCGAAGAGCGTCCACTTTATCCTGTGAGTAATTTGTCCAGACTACCGTTACTCTAAAATCAAACCATTTGAAGGAACAAACCAGGATAAGCTCATAAGGAATAGGCACTTTAAGGTGGACCCGTTTTGAGAGAAACGGTGACAAGTACTCCTTGCCGACATATAGGAATGTCATAGATACTAGTGATATGATGAGAGTAGTCACATTCACTTGAGGAACACGGACAGCAAGATCGTAGATTCTCTGAAAAATCTTTGAATTTAGAGTTTATTGATTGACCTTAGAAATCTGAAGCTAAGTATTACTATTAGTTTGAAGATCAAATTCCAAACTGGTTTCAAGGGGGTTCCCGGCGCTGTTTGGCGTGGGATGGGCATCCTGCACTTTCGCTACTTCCTTTTTCAGTCCATGACAGGTCTCACTTTGGTCACACATGTAAACTCCTGTGGTGCTGCGAAATTCAGTGAGAGAGCTGCTTTAGTCCCAGGAGTTTACAGGACGTCACTAGAGGCCTGTACTAGCTTATCTGAGTATTATCTGACTTATCTGCGGTGCCCCCACCAAGCCGAATTATCCCTGCACCCTGTATTCAAAGTTGTGTGAATCGATCTTCTCCTCGTTTGTGTATACGAACAACTAACTACAAGAAATTTCAAGGACTGAGCTACGTTAAGCTGGACTTAGAACAGGGACGAATGAACTTGGGAGGGTGAGGATCGTAGGCGTAGTGGGCGGAGTAAAGCATGCAACCGCGCCTTCCTCATTGGTGTACTCCACGCTCAGAAGAGGGGCGCTCCACTCATGGAAGAACTATAGCACTCGCTTCGTGAAGACCGGTTTGACCATCTGATCCATCTGCTGTTAGCTGGTAAATTTGCCTCCACTGCAAAGTCAAAGGAACTAGCGTGGAGTGTGGTTCAAAAAAAAGACAGCTATTGCTGTTCTTCCAGGTCGAACCATGTAGAACGAGCACCTTCAAATGTTGGAAATGTTTGAAAACTAGAACTGTCAGACTATTCCCTGACCAGTTCTTCTTTAGAACCATAGTTTATTTCCCCACATCTTCAAGTTCCAGTAACGCTTAAAGGCAGTGGGCGCGATTGCTGGAGGTGGGCGGCTGCTGCTAGTGGCATTCGTGAAAGGGCAGTGAGAAGGCGTTTGGCCACTCCTCTCTCAGCATCTCCATCCAATGACGTTGGCGACATGAGCCCGCTCCTTCCCCCAGCTATCGTGCCAAGTGCCTTTAAACCAAGACTGCCGGTCACAAATAGTAAATCTTGCAAAAATCTGACTTGTGAACCTACCACAAAAATGTAACCAATTCCAGAGGCTTTTGGAACTCGTACGCCCATGATATCATCAATCTGAGCCAGTAACACATGGACTGCAGCCCCTGAACGAAAATTAAATCAGCAAGACCCGATCACCTGAAGCACAATGAGTTAGTCTGAACCCCCATATCATCTTGAACAGTCATCTTGAATTTAAGGATTTGTGATCTCCAGCAGAAATTGTGAATTGTAAAAGTACTCGCACAACTTTCAGCAATACCCTGATTGTTCAACAACCACTAGCGCTGTATCGCTTCGTAAGCAGTTCACGCTGATCGCAAGGGCGGAGACGGCCAACCACAGTATCTTCGTCATTGGTGTATTGGTGGTGCATCCACTTACAGTCTCAGAAGAGACGTCTTAACAAAAAGGCAGGGCACAATGGTGCGCCTGTCCCCGCCCATACGATCAACGAGGATTCTGTTTTGAAGACAAACTGTACATTCACCTCCGTTGATCCTCCTTGTCGTATATGGGGAGAATGAGCCCACAGCTGCCGTAGCGTGCTACTTTCTCCAACTCAGTGCACGGGGAGGAGCTGGATGCTAGTAGTAGCCCGGTGCGACTCCAAACTCCACCGCTCGCTGCGCTCTATCCATGGGAAAACGCGTCATTTGCTACGCCCTCTCACTTCTAGTTGTCCTCTATCGATGTGTAAGTGTTTCTTTGCGGGACCTTGGCATCGTACTGCACCTTGAAAATAGCGCGGGCGAAGTCGGGAGACGGCGCACGGGCACTGCTACCCTCAAGTGCGTTCCGGTGCACTTTTGAGCACAGAATATCAGCACATAGATCAGAATATAGCACGCTGCTGCAGGTGCGGACTTATTTGAAAGGGTCATCCTTGAATGTGAGTGTACAGTTCGTCTTTGAATCCACTACTTAGCCCTTGCCAACGCAAGACAGCTCTAGTTACCTATAGGTTGCTTATTCTGCTGCGGTAGACGGACAAATGGGCTCAAATGGACTTCACGGCGAAACATTTAGAGCTGTTCAAATCAGGGGAGGGGTTGGAACTCTCACTCCGAAACATTTTAGAGCTGTTCAAACTAAAGGGGAGGGGCCACTTCGCTGATTCACCGGTTCTTCAGGTTTCATCATTGAGAGACCTGTAAACCCTCGTGAACTCAATCGCATAGCTGTGCTTACTTATTCAAGAAATTACAGATCTGTATGTTTGGACGAGGAGCTATCACAAAGTGCCCACCCTCTAAAGCCGCAAGCGTCAGAAAATAATGCCGGTAGCAGTTGTGAAGTGTACATCCTAAATCTGATTCTCTAATCGTGATTCACTTCCATGATAGTTATTCTGCCAATCCCGAATGACTAAAAATCCATGGAAGCGTAAGTACTGAGAACGTTTCTATTGGCCAATTGGTTCCAAACCAGCTTTTATAATAATGCACATTAAATAAGCAGTGATTTCCGAATGGGCTGAAATGGGCTGTGCGCTGCACAATAAATGGTGCAAGCAAAAAATGAATTGCAACAACACCCGCACGTTACCTGCAAGGGAGATCTTATCCAATGAACGTTCAATGTGGGCAAATTCGTAGCTGGGCAAGGGTGCAACATGGAATTGCCCGGGCAGCGAAGCCAAAGGACATTTCTGAACTGTTTATACCTACGCCTGCTAACCAGAGTACGCCAGAGACACGCAACACGCCGCGCGACTGACCGCCAGACGTACATAACTTTGTCCTCTCACCTGTCGGTGTGCCTAAGCCCTCTCACGCTTTGAGTGGAGGTGTACCTGTCTCGCCAGTTTTCCTTTGCTAGTAATTTTCCAGCTTCACTGCCTGACGCATATCCAAGTACATTCTCACTATCGTCGGGCTGCTCACCTCTTCTCATGGATAAGATCTCCCTCACAGATGAACGTAAAGCGTGACTTCGAGTGAGAGTCCTAAAGGTCACAAAGGAAGATGCAGTGGGATTTCATACCGGCTGTTTTAAAAGTGTTATGGGATAGGTAGTATAGGTAGATCGTCTGAAGTAGAGGCTACACGGACCTTTTTACCTCTTTTATCAGCCCTTTGACTCACTTCCTTTCCCTTCTATGGCACTCACACTATCCCTTCCTCAACTACACGCCTTATGCCAGCGGCTGAGCGAACCCCGCCCATGCGACTGGCGCTAAATGTGTTTTAAAATGTTTTTCACTTTAATAGTACAGATACAAGAAATGGAGAGAGAGAATGGTCACCAACTGGTGACCAAGTTGTACTAGGTAACTGGAATAATAGAAGTTTGACGATCTTACCAGTAGTGAACCCGGAGACCAATGGATCAGAGAAATACGTCATAACGAACTGCAATCGAAGTAAAGCACAAATAATCTGAAAGTCTTGAATTCAACGAAATGGTTGGATATTTCAAGGCACAGTCCGCGATAACGAGTAGAGGTAGTGGTTTGAAATATGGAAGAGAGGTCGTCAAGTGGCTCGTCTGTGCAGAGAACATGCCAAAGAGAAGGTCGGCAACGCTCTTAGTAGGGCCTCTCCAGCTCCCGACAGTTCTACGGAAAAAGACAACGTGAGTCCAGTTGGCTGACTCCCCGTAATGAACCCTGAGACCCAAGAAATAGTAGATCTCCCACTTCATGCTTTAGTCCAGGTAAAATCGCTTTCGGCTAAAAGGCAAACTTTGGAGGCATCGTCTGGAGGTGGAGTCACTGGTGAAAGGGAGGTGCCACTAGAGCAACTTTGAGCCTTAACTCCTTGCTTACAACTCTCCGCCGCGAAACTAGCACAAGGTTGTCCACTGCACACCACCCTACCCTTCTAAAATAACCTCTTGCAGTCAGGGTACAGCATCGTGATGAGTGAGATGGTGGTGTCAGTACGACCCCCTCCCCCGCCGAGGGAGGGTCTCGGTGCGACCCCCTTCCCCTTCCCCAGCACATCGACCACTTTCCTACACGTTCCGAGCTTCCTACCAGTTCTTCCAGGATTTCTCATATTTTTCAGTTTTTCACCCAAAGTTTTCCGTCGAGCGAGCGAGAGGTGATGGGGGGGGGGGGGTCGGGGTACGTAGCCAATGTGAAACGGGGAAGACCGCGAAATGTCAACAACCGGGAGGAAGTCTTTCCCCAACGCGACGAGTTTTTCTCAAAGGC